TCTATTGTGGCATTATAAAGTTGCCTTATCCTTAACCTCCTTCACCAAATGCCAATTGAAATTTACACCCTTTTTCTTTATGAGGCTTTCTAGCCTTATGGAAAGAAGCAAAATCATCATGTAGCAACTTCTCTTTATTCAATGCAAATCCTTGATTTTGGAATTCTTCCTCCTTAAAGAATCTAATGTCTTCACAACTCTCTATAGTCATTTAAAGCCTTTTTGGCAGCTCCTAGAAAGCTAAGCATTTCCTCTGAGTTTCATGATGGCCTAGCTCTTGGTGTGGCTGTTGCTCATGACACCATTACAACACTTCTCATAGGATCATTGAAAGTTGGCCAAAATCCTTTTGCTGCCTCTTATTTGGCTTGCTCTTCTTTTTTTTTTTGACTCAAATTTCCTAGAACAATCTTCTATCCTTCTAGAAGTGTAGCAGGATACTCATTCCTAAAAATCTTAGAGACCCTCTTACTAATTCTAGAAAACACTATAAATCTCTCTAAGTACATAACAAAACAATTAAATATTCTACTACCTTTGATACCAAAATAGGGATATAGTCAAACTTGCTTTATTAGCCCATAATATTCTTCCATGTAGCCTATTGTGTAGCAAATCCCTCTAGGAATATAGAAGCGCAAGGTCAATGGGAGTTCCAAGTAGCAATTCAAGGACCCAGCCCTCCACCATATGCTCCCAACCAATAGTCTCCCCATATAAAGATTCATGAAACCCTATTCCCTAGTTATTGCCAAAGCCAAAACTAGAAGGCACTGTACCACATAGATTTCTCTAAGTATACCCAAGTGAGAATCTAGTGAGTTGTGAGAAATGCAAATAAAGATTTCTCATGTGCTATAATCAAAGCTCACTAAAAACCAAGTGAAAACTTTTCAAACACTCATCAACTCCTCATTGCTCACTAACAACACTTCAAAAGCATTCTTAAACACTTTTAATTGCTCCAAAATAGGGGTGAACCATTTCTTGTTATTACCCTTCTTCTGATTTCCTTTAGCTTTCTATTAGCCTCTAGCATAAATTCTTCTCCCACAATTCCCAGGGAATATCTACACATCTCCACATCACACCAAGTTGGCCTAGCAAACCATGGAATAGAAATTTTGAACCTTCTATCAAACTCACAAATAGACAACTTTTCTTCCATGGCATTAACCAAGCTACAAACAAAACTCAGAAACCTGAGTATCACACTTGGAAAACAACGATCTAAACTTTAAAACCTTACCTTCTATGCTTGCAGGTAAAAACAAGCTTTACTGGTTCAATGAGCCTTGGAATTTCAGCCACTTCCATTTGGCGACAATTCAAGGCAAGTTTTTTTAAGTCTTATTGGATCTCATCTCACAAGAAAGTTTTCACGAGTCAAGTATGAGATCATTTCTTCTAGCAGCTCTCATTCTAATCTCTCAGTTGGATTTGTGCTATGCACCACCAGATGGGATTTTTAGAATAAGAGCCTTACATAATATGCTCACCGTGGAACAAGTAAGAGCAGTGGTAGAAAGAATACGAGGCTATGTGAGGAATATACGTGATAATGTTCGATTTGGGGCTGGAAGAACGATGGAACTTGTCGTGATTTTTGATAGGAATACATTTGTTAATGTCTATTTATTTGTGTATAGTAGAGTGTTTGACGAGACCCCAGGTATTTGTACCATGCGTCCAACGATCCAAGATGTGCTTGGCCAAAACCTACGGCAAAATATACTGGATATGTGCGACAGGATACTAGAAGAGTTATGGGATGTAGAACGTTGGTACGGTTATGTTGACATTGTTCTTCAATATATTGGACTTCATTATGAACTAGACCTTCCAAAGAGTAACCAGCTTTTGTTCTTCAACATCTCATCGGTTAATACATCTGATGATCACAAGGATGAAAAGCTTGGTGGGTTTGATAGCGATATAAGACACTGTTGGGTCTATACTACATCACTGGTCAGTGGCTCTAGAAACATTCTTGGCTCGTATTTGCTGGGTGGAAACAGCTTAATCTCGGCTGATAGTTCTTATAGGTTGACAATGCAAAAGAATTGCAATCTCGTACTACAAAGTCCCAGGGGAATAATCACATGGAGCTCGGGAACACAGGGAAAAGACTCCAATTGCTACTTAATCCTGCTAGCTAATGGAAAATTGGTGATTTTTGGATCTAGAGGAGAGGCGTGGTCAAGCAAAAGTATCTCCATCCAAAAGAAGTTATACGCTCTTGTGATTGAGAATCTTGGTTACTTAGCCATTTACAGAACAGACACGGCCACACTTGTTTGGAAATCTCTCTAAGAGAATTGTGCTGATATTGCCTAAAATTTTGATTGATTGATTAATACATGGCCGTCCTTAACAGATTTATACGTACAATAGACATGGCTGCCCGCAAATCTGCATATAATTTTCTTTTCATTTACAAAAGAAAATGCCGGTTTTTAGTTTTGTAGACATTGATAATTAGATCATCACAGTAAAGTTTAACAAAATAACTTTCACATCCACATTGTCATGAGCCACCTGGTGAACCAGGTTGCTCATGAAGCTTTCTTCTTTGTTAGAATAAATAACACGACGGTAGTTAATCTCCAAGCACACCCGCCCTGAAGCGCAGGCTAGAAACCATGAGAACGAAACATTTTGGGCTGGCCCTGGCACTGAGAAATGGCTCAACACGAAATCCACCCGTCACTCCACCTTCGCCATGGCGCCATGCACTGCCTAGCACCGGCGCTCTCGCCATACGCGAGCAAAGTTTGTACTAGCGCGCACCCTAACCTTCGGTCGGAGTACAAGGTACCTCTAGCATCGCAAAGGGAAGTGGATTGGCATGGCCCAAGAGAAGCTCCAATCCGGGAGCAATCATTCTACGAGTGTGACGCGGTGGGTCTTGCGCCACGGCTGCTGGGAAAGCTTCTGCCAAATAAACGAGGTGTGAGCTTTTCCTCATTTTTTTTCCTCTCTAGAATTTAACTACCCGTTGCGTGCCCGGTGAAATTCTTCTTCCAAAGCTTCTTTGCTTTTCTTCTTTGTATAGTTTGGACAAGGAGGGCATACCTCATTGGACTCAGGTAAAGTCAAGTCACTGCCAGTGGCTAACTTGTCTGCTACGCGTTGATCTTGCAAAAGATCACGGTGTTAAGCCGCTTCATGTTGAGCTCCTTGACTGGTTTGCAGTGCTGCTGCAAGGAGACGTAACGCCCTCCCAGACACGGTTTTCAGGCTGCGCAAGTGCTTCTCGGGAGGCGTGCTTCTCGTGTGGTCACAAGTGCTGGCATTGGTGAAAGGTATTCAAGACTGAAGACAAGAGGAAAGATTTCCATTGGCATCTATTGCATTGTGGTCTTATGCTTCAAGCGGGGCGCAAAACTATTATTAATATACCTACATTCTATTTTGCCGCTGTGCTCATTCATTCCTATCAGATCATTTTAAATTTGTGAGCTTCATCAGCTTTAAGACTTTCACGCCAGATCGGGCGCTTACAGGAGAATCTCTTTACAGTTTCTCCAGTTTAAGGAGATCTGTCACACCAGGTTCGTGACCTTTTTAGATCTGACAAGTCTTCGATTGACTACTCAATGGTCGAGTCATCCTTCCAGGTATGAGCTAAGTTACGTGATGCTTGCTCCAAGAGATCTTCTCGAACAGGTGGTCTTGAGATTTGATTCTCGAGATGGTTCTTCTCCTGATGCCATTCTTGTCATCGGAGGTGAGATCGAATATGCATTCTGGCTGAGGGTGGGGATCGAATATGCACTGACCGCATTATGGAGATTTGCAATCCCTGGGACTCCGTGGGTGAATGCTCCAAGAAATACCTTGCAACTCCAACTCCAAAAAGTTTTCTCCTGACGCTTGGAAACAACAGTCTAGCTTTAAGTCCTTGCCTTTTATGTGCTTGCAGGTAAAATAGAGCTTCAGTTAGTTTTCCGAAACTTCAGCCACTTTTATTCGGCGACAATTCGTTTCTTCTAGCAGCTCTCATTCTAATCTCTCAGCTCTATGCACCACCACATGGGATTTTTAGAATGAGACTCTTGTATGGTATGCTCAAGTAAGAACCATGGTAGAAAGGATACATATACGTGATAAAGTTTCATTTCGGGCTGTTGAAATTTATCGTGATGCTTGCACAGAATACGTGTGTGAGCATCAGTGTTTAGTAGAGTGTTTTACGAGAGGATGTGTGTACCATGGATCATCGATCCAAAGAGTTTTTGGCCAAAACCTACGGCAAAATATACTGGATATGTGCGACAGAGTTAGTAGATCAAGAACGTTGGTTCTGTCGTGTTGATATTGTTCTTGAATATATTGGAATTGACTATCAGCTCGAACTTCCTAACCAGCTTTTGCTCTACAGCTTCTCGTCGCCTAAATCTTGATAATCACAAGTTTGATGATCTTGAGCCTCATGGGCTTGACAGCGATATAAAAGATTGTTGGGTCTATAGTACATCACTAATCAGTGGCTCTAGAACGCTCTTGGCTCGCATCTGCTGGGTGGAAACAGCTTAATCTCGGCTGATAGTTCTTATAAGTGGACAATGCGAAGCAATTGCAATCTCGTGCTACAGAGTCCCAACTCGAGAACATAGAGAAAAGGCTCCGATTGCCTGCTAGCTAATGGGAATTTGGTGATTTTTGGATCTAGAGGAGAGGCATATCCGTGATCGAGAATCTTGGTTACTTGGACACTTGTTTGGAAATCTCTCTAAGATAATCATGCTTATATAATGCTTAGTCTTGTTACTATCATACCCGTACGCTCCTTCATTGCATAACTTCAAGGCGATTGATTGATTGATTGATACATTCTCGTCCTTGTGTATTACACCATAAGTTTAGGTGTTATATTATTCTCCAGTTTGTTGTACCAGCATCGTCCCAGCTGCCGTACGCGCCGCGGTAAATTCGCAGTCACGCTTGTCAAAGTAAATTCAAAGGCGTGGGAAGAAACCTGATTGGAGGATCGGATGATTGGGGAGGGGAATCTTGTCGACACGTTTGTAGCAATGGTCTAGGTCGTATTACGCCCTAATCTTTCTTTCTTTGCATTGGCGCTTGGTTTTTCCTCTAGAACTAGGCGAGAGCGCGGGCGAAATATTTCGCCATGGATGCCGATTCGTGGAGTTGCGCAATGAATGGGGGCGGCAGGAAAGATCCCCCGGGCGCTGCCGATGCGTCGCTCGTTTCGCTCCAGGATCTGAGGTCCAAGTTACAGGAGTTTGCGCGCGTCCGCGATTGGGATCAGTTCCACAGCCCCCGCAATCTCCTGCTCGCGCTGGTAAGAATCGCTGCCCCGAGAGAGCGCTCGATCGATTAGCGATTGAAATATTTCGGACATATTTCGAAAATATTTCTTCCTCTTTCTCTCGATTGCCTGATGGCGAGAGGCTTTTTAAATGCTTTCTTTCTCTTCTTCCGATCGATCACGGAGAGTTCCTGCCTTGATTGTAGAGAATGTCTCTGATTTGTGACCTGTGTGACTGCACTGTTGCTGCTTGCGCTGGCTGGGAGGCCCGTGTCCCTGGCGATGGCCCCTGGCCAGGCGAGCATTGTTTTCTAGCTCTAGAGCGAATCGACCCTCGCTCATAAATGTCAATGGGGGTGCCTGGAGCTTGGGTGGTTTTGTCCGCTTTTTGGAGAACATATTTTTCTCATTTGCTTCTTCTTTGTTCTGAGGATGGGATGGAGCGATCGCTTTTATTTATTCCTTTCTCCTTTCTCTTCTTCTTTCTCTCTTTGGCTGGGTCGCCTGCCAGTTTTGCCGCTCTGTGTTTGCTCCTCACGTTGGCCTTGTGGTGTTTGGGATGCTTGAGTGGAGCGCGATTGATTAGTACCAAACTTTTAGCCATTGTCTTTTCTTCTCCTTTTTTTTCAGGTTGGCGAGGTGGGTGAGTTGTCCGAGATCTTTCAATGGAAAGGCGAAGTCCAGCGGGGGCTCCCGGACTGGAACGAGGCCGAGAAGGAGCACCTCGGGGAAGAGTTGTCGGATGTGCTGCTCTACTTGGTCCGGCTGGCCGATGTGTGTGGAGTGGACCTCGGCCAGGCGGCACTCAGCAAGCTCAAGAAGAACGCGGTCAAGTACCCGGTCGAGAAATGCAAGTCCCAGAGCACAAACGCGCAATGAAAAGGGGAGACACACACACACACACACACACAACACTCAACAGGTTCTTCTCATTTTTCTCTTCGCTCCCAGCAATTTTGGCTTGTGTCTTGGATAAGTAGGTAGGTGCACAGTTCTCTCATTCTTTCCCAGTTTGAATCTTTCTCCTAAGATCGGAATGTGAAGCTTTCCATTGACTTGTGTGTGCAACAAAGCAAAGACCTGTTTTGTGTCTGGATCAAGATCAACGAGATCAACGGGATGAGATGTTCTTCTAATCCCCGTTCGTGTGGGTGCAGGAAGATATTTTTTGCAGCGTCAGAAATCTTGGGGGATCCATGCCGCGGACTTATAAGGCAGGATCCAGGCGCTCGTGCAGACATGCCACTCAGACGTGTTTGAAAGTAATCGCACCGGCAAGGGTCCCATTTCTTCCCCCTTAGTGGTTCCTTTTCTTTGGATACTGCTTTCCATCCTGGCTTTCTACTTTAGCACTGAGACAAAGTCAGCCCAAGCCAGCTTTGTCTTTCCTCTGTACCTTTGTATACCAAAGAAAAGTCTGATTTGACCTACAAATCAGTCAGTGCTAAACACCTTTCAAACAAGGGGCACTCCGAGAATTGAACTCCGCACCAGAATCATTCATAAGTGCCCACTAATGAAATGCTCACCTAATTACATTTAAAATCCTTAATGGAAAACTGATTAATGCCCCTTTCTGTAAGACACATTGTTCTTCCTTTATGCTTTAAACGGAAGGAAGAGGTTGACAAACACCAAGAATATGCCATAGGGCTTTTTTAGGGCTTTAGAGGCGCTATGCAGCTCTGCGTTTTCGATTCTCGGCGAGGCCAGCAGGAGGGGCATGAGCTCGACAAGGTCCTCTTCTTCTACCCGCTCGATTGCCCGCTCCCCTCCCAGCTCTCCCTCGTCGGCCTCAGCGAGGGCCTCATCACATTCTCCAGGTACGATCACTCTTCCCTCGCCTCGCCCTGCTTAGAATTCGGCCTCCTTCCTCTACCAGGATATTTTCCCCCGATAGTCCTTGCGAGTTCATGGAGGCCGAGAGGCACGGCCACATTTTCTACGAATGCGAGCCAGATATCTGGATGATTTTGGTAAGGACAAAACGAAGGCTTCCTTTCTATGTTATTTGCTTTGTTTTTGTGCTTCAAGGTGGTCGAGAAAGATGGCGACCAAGTAACCAGAGATGGTGCTTATAGAAGCTTACTCAGGGAGTTGTATGGTATTTTCAGGCTGTTCTATGGGAAGATCTCATCTCGCCTTGAGAATAATCCAGTCGCCGACGTTGTTCGCAATTGCTTGTATGTGTTCGTTCCCGACTATATTGGAGGTAAGTGCTGGTCCTTTTTCTCTCTTTTTTATTGAGAGTTATTATGCAGATATGATGGCGGGGAAGACTTTGTGGCTTCCTACAATCTCGGATTCGCTCGCTGAGCATGCGACTGTGAGGATTCTCTCGGTGGAGCCCGACATTCTTCTCGAGTGCCAGGTAAAAAAAAAACTTTTTAGTCATTTGATTTCTGTAGGCTTTTGGTTTTTTCTTGACATCTCTGTTCCTGATCAGTTACCTTATCTTGGTTGAAGTCCTTGCTGGGTCTCTTGGAGTCGTGGAGTGGAGTACCTCAGCAGTCGATGGTTCTTTTTCACAACTATCTCATATCCAGCACGCTTTTACCGGTAAGTTTTAGTTTCTTCGCCGATTTGATTCTAGAGTGTGCTCTTTTTTTTTCTCAGGCTGACACAATGGCAATGTACACGTATGCTGTCTTGCGCATGATACCATCAGTCGTCTCGCAATCTTTCGCTCAAGGGTCCAAGAGGTCGTATACTCGGCACTCGGTGCTAAACAGCGTCGTGTCCACGTTTGTGACAGAGCCCAAGCGTTCGGTGTCCTCGTTACACGAGCAAACCGTCTCGCAGCCGCTCCACCATGACGCTTGGTGGCAAGACGTGGACGGCTTTCTCTCTAGTTTTGCTTGGGGTGCTGATGGTCCCGGCGGTGGCGCAGTTATTCCTAGTGTCTGGCTTCAAGAGGGAGAGAAGATGACATATCTCTGTGTTTATCAGCACAGGGCGCTAACTTTGCTGATGTTTATCCCGAGTGCCGAATCGGTGGCACTTCTGAGGAAACAAATCATCGACCAGGTAAGTTTCTATGTTGTTTTTCTTTTACAAGTTAGTGGCTGATCACTGACCTCTTGCTGTGTTCCAAGGCCGATAAAATCCAAGTGCTCGAAGAGAAGCTCACGAAGCAGTGGGGTGGGAGTAATGCAATGCATGTTCCTGGATACCGCTACATGCACCACGACTTGAGTAGAAGAACTATAAAAGCGTCACCTCCGAACAAGGTTGCTACGTTGGCCAAGGTGGGTTTTTTTTTTTTTTTCTCATCCTTTTCGTGACAGAGATGTTTCTCGCAGGAATCTCTGGCAGTCTTGAACAAGGTGAGAGGAGAACTCGACAAGGAGAAGAATCGATCAGATCACACAGACAAGGAGCTCTGCTTGCGAACGAAAAACAATGCATGGGTTTCCGCTAGAGCCCGTGCTGGACACGAGCTCTACGTGGTACTCGAGAAAGCCAGTGACACATTGCTAGTGGCCTCGGACGCTATTGACAAGTTTAACAAAAGGTAAACGAAACTTTTCCTTCCAAGTTCCTGAAAGGCTCATCTCGATCCAACAACAGGCACTGTGAAGGCCGGCTTTCATCAGATTAATCTTGTACAAATCAACTTCATCGCGAGAAAAAAAAAATAGAGGACGTCGAAGAAAAAAGAGCTCTTTCATTTCCAGTCTACACACAACTTTGCCAGATTATTTTGCCGTCCTCTTCTCCTATCAATCAAACCTTTTGGCTGCCGAGATCAAAACGTATATTAGTTCTGCTTCACTACCTTCCACTCCACTGACGCTACCGTCCCGCGCGCACCAAAAATCTAATCCTTCTTCTCCTGTCTCTCAGCTCTCGTCCCAGGCACTAGAAGCCCCGTGATGTCCACCACCGTAACCATGACCGTGTCCACCGTGACCCCCATACCCGTGGCCGTGACCATGCCCGTAACCATGACCACCACCACCTCTTCCACCTTTCTTTCGATAGTCCCTGCCGCCAAACCTCGACCCCGACCGATGACTCCTGCCAAAGTTCGAGTGTGCAGCGCAACTTGCCAGCCACTCGGGGACTTGCTGGTTGGCCTCTTGCATTAGATCCACCAGCGGCCTCGCCAGCGACGTATCCTTGTCGGTGAAGAACGCGGTCGCAAAGCCACTCTTGCCTGCTCTTCCTGTCCGGCCAATGCGGTGGACGTAGTCGTCGATGTCGCTCGGGAGATCGTAGTTTATGACGTGGGCGACGTGAGGGATGTCGAGGCCGCGAGCCGCAACGTCGGTGGCGACTAGAATCGGAGTCACCCCGGTTCGAAACGACCGCAACGCGTGCTCACGCTCCTGTGGTTCCCAAAAGGTCACTCTAGCTACAAAGAAAACCAGTCACTTACCACTTGAGTCCGATCTCCATGAATGGTGGTGGCGGAGATTCCCATCTGGATCAACCAGTCCTCCAAAGAATCAGCACCTCGCTTTGTTTCGACAAACACTAGTATCAACGGAAGCTGTCAAAAGAAAACCCGTGATATCAATCACTGGAAACATTCTTGTTTAGAATTTACCTGTCCATTCAATCCGTTTGGTTTCTGAGCGTGTATCATGTCCATTAACATGCTCCGCTTATCCACGTCGTGGACGTACTCGACCCTCTGGACGATCAGGTCAGTGCTGGAGCCTACCCTTCCCACAGCAAGAAAAATGTAATTGTAGAGAAAGTCAGCCGCGAGTCTCTGCAAAATGCGATAAAAGAAGGAGAGTCAAAAACAAGCACTCGTCACTAAAGGACTGCCAAGAGAAAGCGCACCTGGATCTCGCGTGGGAATGTAGCACTGAAAAGCATCGTTTGACGTTGGCCGGGCGGTGGCATGTCGGTGTTTTCCACAATCTTCCGGATTTGTGGCTCAAAACCCATATCAAGCATCCGGTCTGCCTCGTCCAATGCCAGATACCGGACCAAGGACAGAGAAATCCTGCCCCGTTGCATAAGGTCGTCCAGGCGACCTGGAGTTGCCACCAGGATATCCACCCCCCTTTCTAGCTCTTTCAACTGAAAAATACTGGTAAGAATCGCAAAAAAAAATCTCTCTGCAACTTACCTGTGACTGGACCGAAGTACCCCCGTAAATGACAACCACTTTCACTCCTGTTTGGTACGCAAACTTCTTCGCTTCATCGTGAATCTGAAAAACCCAAGCTTTCAAGGACCGGAACACCAGAAACAAAGAAAATGCTCACCTGACTAGATAGCTCACGCGTGGGTGACAGTATCAAAGCCAGCGGAAACGCCTTCCTGCTTCCACGAGCATGTCGAGATCCCGGCGGGAAGTTCCAGAGAATCCCGGCAATGATCGGGAAGCAAAAAGCCGCGGTCTTTCCCGATCCTGTCTGTGCGCAAGCCATCAAATCCCTCCCATGCAAAGATATTGGAATGGCATGCTTTTGCACCGGCGTCGGCTTGACGAACTTACACCTCCTGATGTTCTCGTTGAGCACCGGCCCCAGGTCCACGTCCGCAAAGCTGGTGATCGCAGGAGGTATGTTCTCGCCGCTGGCCTCCACCGGGATGTCGTCGTAAGCGTCGAAGTTGATGCCAGTGTTCTCGTTGTTGAAGATGACCTCGCTAGCCTCTTCCTCGGCAAAAGGATTCACTTCTCTATCCCTTCGACCACCTCCACCACCACCCCAGCTCCGTCCATTGGCGTACCCGGGATTCTCCCATCCTTTCGCAAAGGATGGCGATGGAGGAGCCCAGTTACCACCCGACCGAGGAGTTCCAGGATTGCTGTGGTACTGCTGCTGGTGGTAGCCATAGCCGTGGTGGGGTGGTCCGGCATACTGCTGGTATTGGTGGGGGTGATGCTGGTACTGCTGGTGCTGAGCGTTTGATCCAAATCGCGGAGAAGCTCCATGAAAGTGTGGTGACTGCGGCATAGCAGCGTTGTGATGCTGATGCTGATGCTGCTGCTGCTGCTGTTTCATCGGTGGCGCTGGCTCTGGAGTCACGGTGGTGGCACCACCACCACCACCGCCGCCACCACCTTGTCCTCCCCGGTTCCTCAAGTGTGGAGGAACATAGGTGGATCGATTGGGCCGCCCTGGAGCTCCGGACGATCCACCGGAATTTGCTACGATCGGAGGAGGCGGAGGAGGATTTGCCGCGGCCTCCGCCTCGACCGAATCCGCCCAGACCGACGGCATTATCCTTTTTCTTTGCTGTTCTTTCACTCTTTTGTTCCCGAGCTCAAGCAAATCTACCTGAGAGCTCGCTCATCCCTAAATCTTGCTGCCTCCCGACGATCGCGAATCGATGCTCTCGCGAGAGATCTCGCGAGCAGTGCGCGTGATCTAGCCGGCGCCGCCCCGGAATTCACTTACCTCGCTACGATGCAAACCCTCGCGACACGGCGAAGTGAAAGAGAGAGACGCAAGCCCTAATAGTGATCTCGGCTCGCCGGTTTTGCGACGCGGCCAGTTAGCGTACGTCGGATCCGCGATCCAACGGCTGTGGCGAGAGCTCTCTCTCATTCATTCCTTGTTCTAGAGAAGGGAAGAGGAGGGAGGCTATGGTGGAGGCGGAGCTCCAACGAGCTCGATTCTAGGGCAGAGACACTCGCCAGGTAAGACGCGCGGCGGGCGCTGGTTGATTCTGGGGCGCTGGGACGAGAGACGTGGGAATCCCGCAAGAAAGATCGCGAATTCCGGTCTTGATCGAGAGAAGGGAGGAGAATCACTCGCAGGGCGGTGGATTTGCATTGGAATGGGAATGCGAGCACAACACAGGGTTTAGGGTTTCTTTAGAGCGGCCGAGAGAAAGGAGAGAAGAAGAAGAACAAGGGAGGAGATGACAACGGCATGGGCGGATTCCGTGGAGGCGGAGCGAGTGGCGGATTCACAGCCGCCTCCACCGGCGAGAAGTACGTACGTTCCACCGCATTTGAGGAACAGGCCGGCGAATGCGCCAGCGCCATCGCCAGCGCCAGTGCCGCAAGCGTCACAGCAGCAGCGCCCAGGCGCCGGCGCTTGGTCCAAGCCTCTCGCCTCCTCCAATCCTCCTCCAAGATTTGGAAGCGCGAGCTCGGGGAATGGATGGAGCAGTAGCAACGGGAGGAGCTCCCAGCCGTGGAGCGATGGGCGGAGGGACAGCAGGGAGGCCGACCCTTTTGCGAGCAGCGAGGAGAATTCGTCCGAGGCACTCTTCGAGCAAGAGAGCACTGCTATCAACTTCGATGCGTACGAGGACATACCAGTGGAGGCGAGCGGCAGTGACATCCCAGCTCCTGTCGGCACTTTCGCAGAGATCGACTTTGGAACTGCGCTGGACGAGAACATCAAGCGGTGTAAGTTCGTCAAGCCCACTCCGGTCCAGAGACACGCCATCCCCATCGCTCTTGCCGGGAGGGACTTGATGGCTTGTGCTCAGACTGGCTCTGGGAAGACGCTGGCGTTCTGCTTCCCGATCATCGCCGGGATTCTCAGGGATCCGCCAAGACAACGTCCCAGGGGACGCTGGGCTTGTCCGCTGGCGCTCATCTTGTCGCCCACTCGCGAGCTCTCAGCTCAGGTGAGTTCTTCTTTGTTCTTTGTTTTTTTCTTTGTTTTGTAAATGTTTCTTTCCAGATTCACGACGAAGCGAAGAAGTTTGCCTATAGGACTGGTCTTAAAGTTGTGGTCGCGTATGGTGGCGCACAGATTTCTCTACAGGTCTGGCGGTGCTTTTTTTCTTGTCTCTCGTACGACTGAACCTCCTTTTTTCTTGCTTTAGATGCGTGAGTTGGAACGAGGCGTGGATATTTTGGTGGCCACGCCTGGTCGCTTGCATGATCTCATGGAAAGGGGAAGGGTGGCGTTGTCAATGATCAAGTATCTGGCACTGGACGAAGCGGACCGCATGCTGGACATGGGTTTCGAGCCTCAAATTCGCAAGATTGTGGAGACCTCAGACATGCCTCCGCCAGGACAAAGGCAGACGATGCTCTTTAGTGCGACATTTCCTCGCACGATTCAGGTAAGTCTGGAATGTTTTTCAGCTGATTAAAAACCGCATATCGTTCTCCTCTTCTGCAGAGCCTTGCAGCGGACTTTCTACACAATTATATCTTCCTAGCAGTCGGCAGAGTAGGCTCGAGCACGGATCTTATAGTACAACGCGTGGAGCGCGTTCAAGAGGCAGAGAAGCGTAGCTTGCTCATGGACATTATCCATGGTCAAAAGGCGATTGGAGCGAACGGACAGGTACACAAGCTTTTGTTTCTCCTTGCATTTTCTTACCCGTGAGTTTTTCTTTACTGCAGCCACCACTGATGCTAGTTTTCGTGGAGACGAAACGAGGAGCGGATGCACTGGAGGACTGGCTGATTAGATCCGGGTTCCCTGCGACAACCATTCACGGGGATCGGACACAACCGGTAAATACCATCTCCTCGTTTTCCGATCCATCTTACAAGGCTTGTTTCATTACCAGGAGAGGGAGCAAGCTCTCAGATGCTTTAGAACCGGTATGACGCCGATCCTCGTCGCCACCGACGTTGCCGCTCGCGGCCTCGACATCCCCCACGTCGCTCACGTTATCAACTACGATCTCCCGAGCGATATCGACGACTACGTCCACAGGATTGGCCGCACGGGGCGAGCAGGAAACTCCGGCCTCGCCACCGCCTTCTTCACGGACAAGGATTCGGGCCTCGCAAAGCCACTGGCGGAGCTGATGCAAGAATCGAGCCAGGAAGTCCCGAGCTGGCTGGAAGGCATTGCGAGGTCGGGATTTGGAAGTAGAGGAGGCAGCCGATCGGGGTCGAGGTTTGGAGGAAGAGACTACAGGAAAAGGGGGCCGAGAGGTGGTGGTGATGGCTTTGGTGGCAGCGGCTATGGTGGTGGCTACGGTGGCGGTGGCTATGGTGGTGGTTCGAGCGCCTGGGATTGAGAGAGGCTCCCTTTTGGCGTTCTCGTTTTAACACGATGGTTGGAGATGGCAAGCATCTCCACGGCTCCACAGTTACGTTTTCTTTGTGTTTTTTCCGTCTCTCTCGTTCTCTCTATGTTTCAATTTACTAACTTTTGCTCGCTCAATCCATTCTTTTGCTGTTTTTTGGATCAGTGGAGTGTAAGGTTCTCCATGGCCATTTTGTTTTTGTGGTCTCTTTTAATCTTTTAATATTCCAAAAGCTGGATGTTAAGCCCAGTTTACTAACACAGTATTGATCTCTTTCAAATGTGACAGCAGTAAGTCTTTAGTAAGAGGAGAGTATTTGAAATAACTTGTATCAATGTCTCACCAACATGGAGGAAAATATCTAAAAAGATCTGTAGAATATATAATGTGAGAGAACTTATAAATAGTAAACAAGAAAAGGAAAACTAAAGTTCGCCTCTATGGAAGCCACGCATTCGATGGGGGCAATTGCGAGGCCACACTGAACTATTGCTCCAGCTGTAGGGACTCTGGAAGTCCGAACGCTGGGGAGAACTGAAGCTACTGAGACTTTCGTCATGTTTTAAAAAAATACAATGGTTTCTGCTGTAACTCATTATTAAAATAACTAAACTCCATTATGAACATTACATTTCCCGAGTTCCATTTAATTATTCCCCTCGGATTCTGTAGTATGAGATCTTTTGCACTGTCAACCTATAAGAATGATCAGCTAAGGTTAAGCTGTTTCCACTGAGCAAGTATGAACAGTGATTAGTGATGTTGTATAGACCTATCAATCTTTTATATCACTGTCAAACCCATGAAGCTTTTGATGATACTATGATACTTGTCATCATCAAACGATTTAAGCCATGAGAAGTTGGATTATTCATTCATCAGGATCTTGGATTTGATCAATTTGAATATATTCAAGAACAATATTAACATGACCATACTAATGTTGTCTATCCACCAACTCTTCCAGTATCTTACCGCATTGGACGTACGGTGAAAACACCCGCATCCTCCCTAAACGCTCTACTAAACACTAGAAAATTGACGTATTCACCCAGGACAAGTTCGAGCCTTCTTCCAGCCTGAAATGAAGCACGTATAGCTCGTCTCAGTCTCCTTGTTACCAAAACTCCACCTGGTGGCGCATGGCACGAATTCAGCTGACAGATTACAACGAGAAAGGCTAGAAGAAACAATCTTATTTTAGTTTCTTAGTTTCTTTCTTTTTCTTATCGAACTGTTTATGCGAGTGATCGATGAAGCTTGCCTTGTCCTGATTTAACAAGATTTTAGAGGGATTGTAAGTTCCAAGAGATGTGAAGTACTTAAATTACTTTTGGGTTTTTCTTCGAGCACTCCATACTGCGGTCACGTTTTGGCACCCGGGGAAGAGCCAGCCGAGGAAAACAACAAAACTATCATCTGTAGATGAATCCCGTAACTTGTTAACTGCAAAGGATGGCTCAGCCTTAAATCGGTGGAATTCAAGAGCCTATAGACAGCTTATTGTATACTTTGAAAATTCACGGACAGTGAACAGTGTGGAAGTAAGAAAATCGAAGTACCTGATACAGGAGCACAGGAACGACGTGGTGGACAATCGCATGAGCTAGCTGTGACGATCTCTAGCCTAGCGAGTCTAGTCAAATAGCATGTTCTAATTGTAAATAAGTTCTTGCATTAGAAAATATTTTAAAAATCAAGAGATCATGTAAACACTGTATGACGCGGTCTTCAAAATACCCCTATATAAACCAAACCATTCCATTGGCAAAATCATTCTTCATACTTCAGCTCGTCATTACAGCATTCTTTCTAACATATTCGAATGGAGTCTTCTCTCAAGCTCTTTTCTCTTCTTGCTATTCTTCTTGTGATCTTTCTTGGCTCCTCCAGCTGCGCCAAGAACGACAACTGCAATGGCTCTGGACTCTGTGGATCTCGCGTCAACCAGGCCGATTGCCGGCGAGCAATCTCTCGCTACACCGATGGAACAATCTACAATGGCTTCACTTCTCGTGTTTCTGGCCATTGCACCGCAATTTTCAGGTGCGATGGCAACTATCCATCCGTGAGTGGGGCAGTTCTCAAGCAGCAGTTTCTCCATGTGTATGACAACCAGCCTTGCCGACTCTGCGGAAGCCATGCATTCGACGGGGGCAATTGCGAGGCCACACTGAATTATTGTGCGAATTGCAGGGACTCTGGAAATCCCAACGCTGTGGAGAACTGAAGCTAGGCTTCGGACATGTTTCAAATAAAAGAATTGACAATAATTTGCTGTGCAAGTGTTTGCAGCGTTGTTAGTGTTTGCTTTTTATTCACTGTAACCCCCCAAATGCTGAATGACAACCTCAAGCTCCACAATGAGCTTTGAACTTGATTGATAAACTTCTTTTGATTTGAAGCAGTGAGTATACTTTCTGTTTTGTGAGCGGAGACCATCGCTGCACAGCCATTAAAGCGATGATCTTCACTGGGAGTCAAGTAA